ATACAGGTAATTTCCTTCTACCTTTATGGTATTTGTATTTTGGAGAGAATTTTTTTATAAATTTTTCTTTTTTATATTTTTTATAAGATTTCTTATCTTTTCTTTCTGACTTATATCTTTTCTTTTTATGAAATTTATCTTTAGATTTTTCTATAGTCATTTTCTGTTTATCTAATTGTTTCTTTAATTTCATATATGTGCATAAGGCTAGTCCTTCTGCGTATATTTCTGCAGATAATTCTCCTAATGTATAAACAGAATATGGTATTATTCATCTATTCTTATTTTTTAATCTAGTTTTTACTTTTTCAGCAAATAAATATAACAATCCAGCTACAAATTTTTCTTTCCAATGATCCTGCTGGCTATCTTGATAACCATCAATACTAAGCCCCAATAATAAATAAAATTCCAGAAAGGATTATAGAAAATCCTAATGGTAAAATAGAAATTCAATTTACCAATAATAGAGGATATAGTAGTAAAGATGATTCTGAACTAAAATTATCCACTAAACCTATAATAGAACTACCAAGAAGTTCTACTTCTTCTATAAACCCAAAATTAGAAAGTTTATATAGGACAAGAGAAAATATTGTCATCCCGCAATATAAGTCAGTACAAAAATCTGAACCAGATTTAACTGACTCATAAATGGATTTTCAAGTCTTAACTCTTCAAAAAGAGGAAAGACTTAGTAAACAATTCATTGAACAAGATTATTTGTCTGAAGAAAATAAGGAAATTAGAACTTGGTATAAAAAACATTTTCAACCTAGATTAATAGAATTATTCTATTTAAAGTACAATAAGGCACGAAAATTAGAAAGATATAATAAAGGATTTTTTGTATGGTTAAGAGAAATATGTAAAGAAAGGAAATTACATATTCCTAATTTTGAAGTAAATACAATACAAAGTCAATATACTTCATATGAAACAACCGATGGAAATACAATGACAAGTATTCGCCCTCCTGAAAAAAGTGTTATCATAAAAGGATCAAATCCAGAATTAAAATTAGAAACAAAAGCTACACCATATAAATGACTACATGAGAAATAGTACATAAAGCTGAATTAATCCCACATGTAATAGAACAAAATACCTACACAAATTTATATATGCAATCTTTAAGAAGACAAGCATCCAGAATTGAAAATATGTTAAGACCAGAACCTATACAAGGAAAAAAAAATGTCTTATTTAAACCACCTCCATCCCTTGATAAAGAAAGATTTAACTTTGGAGAAGATAATAAGACCCTAATGGACCAATTGATATCTAAATTATCTAAATTATAAATTCAAGAGAAAACTCTAAAAATATTTCTTATTCAGGAAGATCAATAGTAAATCGGAATATAGATGGATTATCTGAACAACAAGTATTAGACACCATGAAACATATGACCATGTATGCCTCTGCATGCAAAATGGTAGGCAACCATGATCAAGAAGTTGCCAAAGCCAATGTCTGTGGCTTCACAGGATGGCTTCGAGGTTGGTGGGATTTCCACTTACCAAAAAATACCAAACAACAGATTCTGAATAATACCCGTCAATGGACTGTTAAAAATGAACATAATCAAGATATCCTATATTTCGAATGTGATGATGTCAATACTCTCATTTGCACCATCACACTTCATTTTGTGGGGAGTACAGCCTTACTTGAAGCCAGATCTAAAGATTTATTGTCTAATTTAAGATGTCCAACCCTATCTCATTATAAATGGTATAAAGATGTTTTCTTTTCCTAACTACTAAATAGAGAACATAGCCAGCAGAATCATTGGAAAGAAAAATTTGTAGCTGGATTGCCATATTTATTTGCTGAAAAAGTAAAAACTAGATTAAAAAATAAGAATGGAGGAATAATGCCATATTTTGTTTATACATTAGGAGGATTATCTGTAGAAATATGTGCAGAAGGACTAGCCTTATGCATAGATATGAAATTAAAGAAACAATTAGATAAACAGAAAATTACTGGTAAAAAAGAATTAGGAGACTTCTGTGACAATTCGGATATCATATAGAAAAATCTAAAGATAAATTTCATAAAAAGAAAAGATATAAGTCACAAAGAAAAGATAAGAAATCCTATAAAAAATATAAAAAAGAAAAATTTATAAAAGGATTCTCTCTAAAATAAAAATATCATAAAGGTAGAAAGAAATTACCTGTATGCTATAAATGTGGAAAAGTTGGCCATTATAAAAGCCAATGCAAAATTAAAAAGAAAATAGACACAATAGTCTTAAAAGAATCCGTTAGAAATAAGTTATATGATATAATATAAATATATGATGATAACTCTTCTGAATCTTCCACTGATACTTCATTGGTAGGACAAATAGAAGATGAAGATTATTTTATGTCCTCCACAGAACAATCTGAATCTGAACAAAACATAGAAGAATGTTCCTATAATATGCTATCCAAAAAGGATACACTAATTTTAGACCTCATAAAGAAAGTCAATGATCCAGAAGAAAAAAGAGAAATTATTACCCAATTTATTACATTAACAAAAGCAAAAAATAAACCAGTTCCTTTACTCAAACCTCCAGAAGATTATAATTTTGCTGAAATACTCAAACGAATTAATAAAAAAGATATACTTCAAAGAGAAGTAAATGAAATAAAAGCAGAAGTAGGACAGCTAAAGACTAGAATCAAAATGTTAGAATTACGAAATGACATATCAGGAACCATAACTGATACAGATGAAATTGAATTTGACCAACTAACAGATCCTAGTCATATAGAACCCGAAACTTCAAGAACAAAAGAAGTTGAACAAAATACATATATAAATCTAGTAAATAAAATCATTTCACAAAAATGGTTTATATTAGTAAAAATTGTTATCTAAGAAGAATATAATTTTCAAACCTTAGCTTTAGTAGATTCAGGTACAGATTTAAATTGTATTAATGAAGGTTTAGTCCCATCTAAATATTTTGATAAAACTACTCAAATACTTAATACTGCTGATGGTAGTAGATTATTTATTAAATATAATTTATCAAATGCCATGGTATGCAATAATGGACACTGTTGTCCAACACCTTTTATTATGGTAAAAAATTTAAGTCAGGCAGTCATACTTAGAATCCCATTCTTAACCTTACTTTATCCCATAACAATTAATAATACAGGAATTGAAACATCCAGAGTAGGACAAACAATTAAGTTTGAATTTTTAGAAAAACCAAAACTCAAAGAAATAAATAGAGTCAAAGATAAAATAGATAATAAGGAAACGTTTATATGTTCCTTTAAAATAGAAATAAAATATAAACAATTAGAAGAAGACTTGGAAAAACCCGAGATAATAACAAAAATTAATAATCTTCGAACTCAAATAGAAACCGAAATTTGTAGTGATCTTTCCAATGCATTTTGAGAAAGAAAGAAACATATAGTAGGATTACCGTATGAAAAATAATTTGATGAAACTAAAATTCCTACCAAAGCTAGACCAGTACAAATGAATACAACTTTATTAGAATTTTTTAAAAAAAAAATTGATGAATTACAAAAGAAAAATCTAATAGGAACAAGTGCATCTCCTTGGAGCTGTGCTGCTTTCTATATAAATAAAAACACTGAAAAAGAAAGAGGAGTACCAAGACTAGTAATAAATTATAAACCTCTGAATACAGTTTTACAATGGATTAGATATCCAATACCTAACAAAAAATATTTATTAGATAGACTTGCTACTGCTACAATTTTTTCTAAATTTGATTTAAAATCTGGTTATTGGCAAATACAAATTAAGGTAGAGGATTAATATAAAACTGCATTCAATGTTCTATTTGGACAATATGAATGGAACGTAATGCCATTTGGACTAAAAAATGCTCCATCAGAATTTCAAAAAATAATGAATGAAGTATTTAATCCATATTATAAATTTATGATAGTTTACATTGATGATGTTTTAGTCTTCTCTGATACTATAGATCAACATTTTAAACATATTCATACATTTGTACATGCAATAAAAAATGCAGACTTAGTAGTATCTGCTAAAAAGATAAACCTTTTTCAAACAAAAGTAAGATTTTTAGGAGATCATATTCATTACGGAACAATCATACCAATTGAAAGATCTATTCAATTTGTTGATAAATTTTCCGATATTATTTTAGACAAAACAGCATTGCAGAGATTTTTAGGATGTTTAAATTACAAAGTAGACTTTTATGCGAATTTAGCAATAGATGCTAACCTCTATATGAAAGACTCAAAAAGAATCCTCCCAAGTGGACTGATGAACATACTTAAGCTGTAAAGAAAATAAAAATTAAAACTAAAGAACTACCTTGTTTAAATTTAGCTAATCCCAATGCTTTCAAAATTATAGAATGTGATGCTTCTGAATTAAGCTTAGGAGGTATTTTAAAACAACGAATTAATTCTAATGAACAATTAGTACGTTATACTTCGAAAGCTTAGAACTCTACTCAACAAAATTATTCGACTGTGAAAAAAGAAATACTTTCAATTGTTCATTGTGTTACTAAATTCCAGAGTGATATTCTTAACACTCATTTTCTTATTAGAACATATTACAAAGCTGCTACTGATATTCTCACTAAAGATGTGCAAAACCTGGTCTCTAAGCAAATCTTTACTCGATGGCAGGCGATCTTATCATCTTTTGATTTTTCCATTGAACACTTAAAAGGTGCTACTAACCATCTCCCTGATTTTCTTACTCGTGAATTTTTGCAGGGGGCAACACTGATCATTTTGATCCACCAGCTCTATCTTTTCTACTAACTTTGTTTTATGCAAATATGAATAAGAAAAATAATACTTCTACTCCTGAACAAAGGGGAAAAGCTCCTATGGAAACTTCACTGGATATCATTCCAGCAAATATTACCCAATCACCAATAAGAATGGAACCTGCTTTATCACCCAGTAATAGTCTTGTTTCTTATTCCCCAAATATCAATTACCCAACCTATTTAAGCCAACCTCCAGCTTCTCCTCCAGCTCCAGTTTTTCAGACCTCTACACCAAAGAAACCAACTTTACCAAGCAAATCTCAATATCCTGAAACCTACTTTGTTGCTGATGCAATCCTTGAATCCAGACATGTGAATGACAACCCAAATAATGTTGCAAAATATTACTTATGCAATAACCTCTGTCCATTTGTTGGTACCAAAACAAGAGAATGGTATGAAATGATTCTGTTAGAAATAGAATTTATTTCCTTGGTACATTATAATCTGAAAAATTCGAAAATAATAGCATATTCAAAATTGCAAATAAGAAAGATATTATCCTTTGAAGATTGGGGATCAGACCCTTCCAAAGCCAAGAGATTATATTCCCCGGATTTTCCAACTAAATATTACAGACATGCTGATTACATTAATGCCTGGCATAAAATACTGACACTCCAAAACCTATATAATTCTCACACTTGGTTCTTACAGTTTAAAATGCCTGTAAACACTCCATTTCCAAACTGGTTTCATAACTGGTTTGCAACATGGGGATCTTTAACCCAAATACTACCTGAACCTCTGCAACTCTCTCAAAACCGTTTTATTGAATTCAATGGAAGTGATCCCAATATAGATTACCACCTATATTTTATTGCTATGTATCAAGTACCATATATCGTCAAATGGAATTTTGTGATATCCCCAAATAATACGAATAATTTTGAATATCTGCCATGTTTAGGCAAACAAATTGCCATAAAATGGTGGGACGTCTTTGTCTACCATAATAATGAACCAGACAATATACAGCTCAAACAAATCCCTTTAGCATATGGCTCACATTCATACTCCAACCCAAATAGTTTGGCAGAATATATTACCATGATGAAAAAGCAAAATCCCAGAGCCACTAAGGAGGAATTAGAAAAACAATTAATGAAAATATTTGAAGAAGAGGCAGAAACTGTCCAAATTCATGATGCATCCCGCACCCCCCAAATAGAAGTGCCACCTGACACCCCAGAAACATACCATGTATTAATCTACCAAATCCCCGATGTACATACCAAAGATTCTCCTTCATCCTGTTCAATAGTATTTCAAAAAAGCATATGTGACAAAAAGCATATGTGACAAAAAGAAGATGTGATGCGACAAAAAGCAAGACAGACGTGACTAAAGCAAAGCAGACGTGACTGAAGTAAAGAAAAAAATGACTGATGCGACTCAAAGCAGAATGATATGACAGCCACCGACAAATACCACAAGTCTCAGACATCTCATCAAGCACCGACAAATACCACCTGCAAATACCACCTGCGCTAAAAGACAAATGCCACCTGTCTTACAAATCTTATCAAGCCATCTTTCACCAATAAAGAAAGATTCCCAAATAATCCAAACCAACCACTTGGCATCCATTCAGGCCCTCCTTCCTCTATAAATAGAGGGCACCACTTCAGTCAAAAAACAGGGAGAAAAAATCCGAAGAGCAATTCCTCAGAGCAATTCCCCTATTTCCTGATCAACTTCTTCTTCCTTCCTCTCTTCTTTGTAAAATCCTCTCTCTATGTGTGATTGTAACGACTCTTTATTACCAAGTCACTGTCCACCAGAGTGGAAAGATTTTATTGAACACAAATAAAATAATGAAATTGTAATTATTTAAGTAAGATTGAATTTCAAATCCATAGTTTTAAATAAATGTACAGTTCATATCACCTCCATGACCCAACCCCTTTCCTCGTAAGATCTAGTTGTAAAATCTAGTTTAGAAAGTAAATTTGCACATCATTTACCTCAAAAAGACCTAAGAAAAAGGTAGGTTTGGCATCGAAAATCCCTATGATGACCTTGGAATCTATTTTCAACCTTAATTTTAAACTTCAAAAACATCATAGATTTTATGGATTTATACATACTTTGAAAAAAGATGGTCCATATCATGTATTACAAGATATATCATTTTTTAGGTTTTAAATCCTTAATTTTTAAAGTATATAATTCTCAAAATCACGATCATCATTTTGAATATTTTCTTGCTCCAATAATTTTGTTTTTTATCATGAAGCCTTGTATATAACTCTATACAATTGTTTTTGGCTTGTGTAATCCTCATTTTAGACTTTGGATATAGTTATACGAAAAATACAGGTAATTTAGGCGGCACCATTTATGACCCCTCCAGCCAAATGAACAAAAATACAAGTAACTTAGGCCGCGCCATTTATGACCCCTCCAACCAAATGAACCCCAAAGGATAATTCAAAATACCCCTAATATTCCTTTAACCCATCTTGAAGAATCAAATCAAAAGTTCAATATCACTGCAAAAATTGACCAAACTGCCTTTATATTCTGATTAATTTTTTTAAAATACCTTACCCCAATAAACTAAGGACCTGGTTTTTCTATGCTGCTAAGCCCCCATATGTAGAAATGGGGAAATCTATTTTTGAGATGGATTTTTTGACTTAATTTTTTAGGACATGTAGTCTCTAACGTGGAGATCATGAATAAGAAAAAATAAGTAAATTTTCAAAAATTAGAAATAATAATTCTAGTAAAAAAACATTTGGACCATTAGTTTCCATTGTTTTTAAATGGAACAACTACTTGCATTCACCTTTAAGATGGATGCTTTATGTAGATGGAACACCTACTTGCATCCAATTTTTGGATCCATCTTTAAACCTACTTGCATCCATCTTTTTTTATCCATCTTTAACTTTTTTTGGACCGCAGATATAGTCATGCAGTCCAACCCGGATAAAACAGTTTTTCATAAAAAATGACTAGAACTACCCATAACAAAAAGCATGAAACAATTTTCCATAAAAAAGAACTGACTGAAACTACCCATAACAAATGACATGAAACAATTTTCCACAAAAAAATGACTAAAACTACCCATAACAAAACAACCTTAGTAAAAAATGACTAAAATAATTTTCCATAAAGAAATGACTGAAACTACCCATAACAAAACAACCTTAGTAAAAAAATGACTAAAATAATTTTCCAAATGAAAATGACTAAAACTACCCAGAACAAAACAACTTGAGTAAAAAAATTACCAACATACCCCTACCTTACCTTTTATACTTACTTTTGCGCCTATAGGGCAATCTCCATCATCTTCCTTGCAACGCCAATAGCGGGCTCCCTTTCCATCCAATACCCCACCATTGATCTCTAACCCTTCAACTTTCTCAAACCTAAGTCATGATCCATCCTTTACTTTGTTAATATCAGCAGAAGCAAACACATTTCCTTCCAAACACATTTCCTTCCAAATTTATAGTTATTTTTGGACTTTTGCCTGGTCCACCAAAGGTGGTCAGATAGAGTAGATAGTTTTCGGTCGGTACATGAAGGGTAGTTGAGTCATCGAAGTTGCAAGCCGAGTTCCATGCCTTTGTTAAGGCACCGCTGTCATCAGATTTTCCATCTGCCTTCGTTCCAAACTGTGTAACATCGATGTCAGCACTACCGAGTGTGAAGATGAGGAAGATAATGATCAGCAAGACGTACTTCATCTCCATTAATGGAGAGGGAAGAGGAAGATCAAAACAGTGGGGGGAAAGTGAACCAGCTTTAATGGGATGAAGGAGATGAGAGGAATAGAAACCTAGGTAGAAAATGTGAAGTTGGGATGAAGGATATGAGGGGACCAGCTTTAATGGGATGAAGGAGATGAAGGGTTTTAGAGGAGGAATAAAAAACTACTTAGAAAATGTGACGTTGGGATGAAGGAGATGAAGAGTTTTAGAACAGGAATAGAAAACTACATAGAAACGTGAGGTTTTTGAGAGGGAAGAGATGAATATATATCATATAGATTTTGATATTTAGAAGAGATGTGGATGCAAGAGCAAAGATAGATTTTGATATTTAGAAGAAATGTGGATGCAAGAGGGAAGATAGATTTTGAAATTTAGAGATGATGCAAGAGCAAAGATAGATTTTGATATTTAGAAGAAATGTGGATGCAAGAGGGAAGATAGATTTTGATATTTAGAAGAGATATGGATGCAAGAAGGAAGACAAAGATGTACATGAAGAGTTTTAGAGAAGGAATGAGGGTTTTGAGAGGAAAAATATGGATATATATCATATTGAATTTGATATTTAGAAGAGATGTGGATGCACGAGGGAAGATATAGAAGTAGATGAAGAGTTTTAGATAAAGAATAGAAAACTACATAGAAATGTGAGGTTTTTAAAAGGGAATAGATGGATATATATCATATAGATTTTAATATTTAGAAGAGATGTGAATGCACGAGTGAAGATATAGATGTAGATTTAAAGACGCATGTCTATCCAATAGAATATGATATGAGGTTGTGTAGATTTAAAGACGCAAGACATTGATATCTATCCAATTGAATGTGATATGAGGTTAGGATGAAAGAGATGAAGGGTTTTGGAGGAGGAATAGAAAACTACGTAGAAATGTGAGGTTGTTGAGACGGAATGGATAAATATATATTATATAGATTTTGATATTTAAAAGAGATGTGAATGCACAAGGGAAGATATAAATGTAGATTTAAAGATGCAAGAAATGGATATATATATCCAATAGAATGTGATACCAATAATATGTGGATTCACGAGGGAAAAGATGGATATATATATATATATATATATAGGAAAAAGCTGGGATTAGCCCACTAGCTCATATGAATATAGGAAAAAGCTGGGATTAGCCCACTAGCTCATATAAATATAGGAAAAAGCTAGGATTAGCCCACTAGCTCATATGAACATATGAGCCCAACAGCTCAAATTGAATCTAGGCCGATCTGACGATCAAGGATATCCGGTAGTGTTTGAAGTTTAATGTTTTTTTACAAATCTAAATTACTTGAAATTTTGAATTTTAATGTTTTTTTACAAATCTAAATTACTTGAAATTTAGTCGTGTGTTATTCTAAATAAGATAGTAATACTTCGTAAACTAAATACAAAAAATAAAATTTTAATTATTAGAATAAATTAGTACTAAATAACCTAC